TAAACCATTCATTTCAGAAAGAACAAACATCCCATTCTCACCTCTTGTCAGTTCTTCAGATTGCAGCTTTTTTGTGGCTATATACGGTATAGCAAGAAGAGTTTCCAATTCTGCAAGATCATTCCACTGTCTTTCTGTTAGTCAAACATTAGGGTTATCTACATCTCCTGAAAAAGTTCATAATTCTAAAAACCTCTTTATCATCAAATATGTCTTCTTTATCGCATTGTTTGATCAATAATTGCTCCTTTTCCTGCTCGCTTCCTAAGAATGGCATCAATTTTAGGAGTTCTTGCTGTTATTGCTGCTTACCTAAATTTATCAGTGAGATTTGTTACTAAGTGAATCAGTTTAATCACTAATGGCAAATATCACATCCATCCTCCTCCCCCTTATATTTATTTATTAGTAGGTCAATAAAATAGAAAATAACTATTTATTAATGTATACAATTCATAAATGAAAATAATAACTGAGCTTGGCATTAATTTTTCTTAATTCATTTCAAATTAAAACTGTCCAATGAAACCTGTAGTCGGAGTCGACCTGTTTTTAGCGACTCCAGCTCCGACTCATTTTACCTCAAAATCTGCCCGACTCCGATTTCGACTCCATGATTCTGACTCCGACTCCTGACTCCACAGCCCTGTATAACACACAGTGGTATCAAAGTATAAATAAGAAACAACTCACAGTGGTGAGAATACTAGTCCATTTTTCTAATGTGCATGTAATCATCATTCAAGTTCTTGTCTTAAAAATCTGGCTAGAATCAGAACTACAAAGTCTTGATGGGAAGTATTAACAGCTATATTCTAATCTACTTGCATAGTAATACTTCAGGAGCCATTGAAATCTTCTACTGAAATGATGTCTTGTACATTGATTTGTAAGAATGCAATGAATTTTTAATCCGTACAGCTACATGGAAATAAGCCATCCAGCTTGACCTCCAAGGCAGCTCCTCAAAGGTGCCGAGAATTCTGTGGTTATTTCAACCTTAACTGGAGAAAAATGGGGACTCATTCCACTTGCACAGGCAAGCTGACAGTGTGCAGTTCATCCCTCCTCTTTTTTTTCTTTCTTAACTCATCAGCAGTGAAACCAAATCTGATTTCTAGTCTAACACAAAGTTCGAGGATAACTTGTTCTCAATGCTCATAAAATATTATAGGCTGAATGCTTGACCAATGCACACCACCAAAAAAAATTGCACGTACTAATCCAAACAAAACTGCTTTTTAACAGTTCATCTTGACCACTTGCAAACATTGAATCACCAAACATGTAAGAGCAGAAGTTGATCCCCTTATCCTTCAAAGTGGGAATTTTTAGTTTCTGTCATTAATTGCCAGCTATTAAAAACTCTTCACTTTTCTGTTTATCATCATGTTACAAAGTTTACAATGTCCCTTCTGGTTTCTGTAACTTCAAAAGCGCAATTTATTTTACAAACTGAAGCTTTCTGATCTCAAAACAACAAAAGTGGAGTGACAGTGTAACTTTAAACTGCTCTCTTCTCATTGTAATCTTATTCATAGCTCCGCTGAGAAATTCCATTTGGAGAACACTGACCATGTTATTTAATCCCCAATTCCAGTTCAGATGTTTAGGGGGAGAAACTCCCTCTTCTCTTTTAACTCCAGTCATGATTGCTAATAATAAAAACTGAAAATAATATAACAAAAGCTTTTAAACTGCTCTTGCTAATCTTGTTCAATTCATTTCGATTAAATAAAAACCATAACACACAATTAATTTAAATGCATTAGCACAGTTAAACTTTTCCACACAACACAGTGTGCTAATAATGCATATGCTAATGGTAACAAAAATGGTAATTTAAAATATACAAAATACTGCTAGCTGTTTATGTATGCATACTGTAGTAACTAAAAATTTTCTGTCCAGTGGATATAAATAAGTTCTTTAAGAACATTGTTTGAAATACTGGCCTAGAATTTGTTTACATGTTAATTTATCATTTAAAAAGGTCAGAAGGTATAATAGCCCAAATTACAGTAATTTATTGCATATTGTTAAATAATATATGTTCTATATGAGGGGAGTTGAAAAATAAGGTTATCTACACTGTTACTGGCAGTTTTTTAAGATAAACATTCAATTTTTAGCATAATAAGGTTTCATTGTTTTTTTCCTACATGATCATCAGAGATATTGTGCATTCGTCATAATGCCAAACAAGTTAAAAAACCCTTGTTGAAAAAAATGCATATCCTGCATGCAGGATTTCATTGCTGGAATCATTTCCTCTGCTTTACTGATGATTTGCTTTAACATGGTGCTTGGACCATAGCATTTCTGTGAGTTGGATATGGATTTCAGCACCTGATCTGTCATAAGCTCCTCCTCTGTCTATGATTGCTAAAGTCTTCTGTCCATATCTGTCGGCCATAGAATGCCCCCCACCAGTTCAAAATTTCTGCTATAATTACAGTAATGTCATCTGCACTATATAGATCATATGCTACCAAATGGTGGAAGAATAACCATAAAACCACAAACTCTTGTTTGCCCCATTGCTTACAATTTCTCGGTAAAAAATAAGAGAAGACAAAACTTATTTTGCAACTTTCTCTCGTACATGGTTTTAGAGTTTTGCTGGCACTGAATTAAGTAATAATTTGTGTTTATATCAAATTTCTTAATTGGTATAAATGCTAAAATATTTATTTAATTCTATTCACATCATTTATTTGTCTACCAAAAGGAACTTAATTAAAGATTAATATTATTCATAGTAGTATTAATGATTGAAAAATGAGAGTAACAGATGTGAGTCAGTAAAACTGCAGATTATTTAGTCAGTTTTTTAAAAAAATATATTTAAGTTAACAATTTGGATATTTTCTTTTATAAAAAGCAGTTAATCTTATTGTTTAAAATCCAAAATATTCCTTCTGCGGAAAGTAAATAAAATTGCCAACATCTTTAAATTTCATATCGTTACTTATTTGAACAAACTGACATATCTGAACAAAAAGCAACAGCATGTTATATTATTAATTAACACATATTGATACTAACTTGATTAAAATCAAAGTTTTCTGAGTACATTGGGCATTATTTTATGATTACATGAAAAAAAAAATTAAGTATATGTGCATATATGAAATTTTAATACCATTTTGAAAACCTGAAATTGGTTCTCATATTTGTTTTGGCATTCCAAACAGTTTTAACAAAGCCTTTCTAAATATTTTGGCCTGTTATACACAACATTATATTACATTGTACATATTTGTTACCTTGCCATTTATACTTCATGCAGCCTAGCAAATAAGGAATTTCCTGAATGTTGTATGCAGGATGTAAGCACATGAGTTAATTTTCAAAAACATATGAGTACAACCACAGATCTGCAAGTTTCTGTTGCTTATTAAAAACTGAGCCCTTTGAAAGAAATAAATGTATTTTTTAATAACTCAAATCTGTTCCTTTTTTCAGCAATATATTTAATGGATATAAGTAAAAATGCATGTAACTTACACTGAAGAGCCAAAACATAATGACCACCTACTCAATAATGCATTGCATGACCTTTGGCCAGCAAAACAATTGCAACTCACCCGAGCATGCTACAAGTTCTTGGTAGATGACTGGACACAGGTTGTATCAAATGTCTAAGCAGCAGTCATGCAAAGCCAAGACATTCTGACATGTTGGTGTTTGATCTCTGAGCTCTCACTCCATTACATCCCAAATGTGTTCTATCAGGCTAAGATCCAGTGAGTTATGTAACCAGGATATTAACTGGAGTTCATCCTTATGCTCCTCAAACCACTCCAACACAATTCAATCCCTGTGACATATGGCATTGTCCTGCTGGATGGTTTCATTTTCAGGTGGGAAAAGACACCATGTAAGGGTGCAACTGATCTGCAGTTATGTTCAAACAGTCTGCAGCTTTCATGATCTGTTCTACGACAATTAAGGGCCCCAGAGCTGCCCATGAGAACATCCCCTAAAGCGTAATACCACAACCGCCAGCCTGTGTGGGACCTGCTGTACAGGATGCAGCAACTGTTCACCTGGAAAATGGCATATCCTGACAGAACCATTGATGTAATGAGTGAGAAATCTTGATTTAGCTGATCAAATACCTGCTTCCACTTATCCGTTGTCCAGTCTTGATGTTCCTGAACCCACTATAGGTGTAGTTGACAATGAAGCTTATTCAACAAAGGCACATGTGTAAGACGTCTGCTGTGCAGTGTCCACTGATTTGTGTGTTTTGAAACACTTGCACTTGGACCTGCACTGTATTGGGTTGTAAGATGAGACACTATCTGATGCTGATTTTGCTATACCAAGTGGAACAATTTCCAGCATCCATTTTTTCTTTGATGATGCATAGACATCCAACACCTTAGAATCTATTCCTGGTTTCACCATCATTGATCCATTTTGCATAAATACCAGCAATGGCAGATTATGAACAACCTACCTTGTGCAGTTTTGGAGATACTTGTTCCAAGTTTCCGAGCCATTACAAACTGCCCTCTATCAAATTCTCTTAGATCAGCAGTCTTTCCCATCACTCACAAAAGTAAGTGCAAGAATGATTCTTTACCTTCTCCAGCCAGCAGTTTTAAATACCATTCCCACTTACTTGCCCTCCTCATCATCCAGATGAATTCATTGAAAAATGTGGAGATGGTCATAATATTTTGTCTCATCAGTGCATGTCTAAATGATAATTCTTATAAGCATTTACAGCATTACTGTAATTAATAAAAGATGTTTCTAATGTCATATATTATGCCCTTGAGTGCAGAATTGTGTAATTTAATTTGCTTTTTTTCAAAATAGAGATTTATGTATATATAGCTAGGTAAATGTAGATGTTTTATATATTTTAAAAACTTTGTGCAGGCCAAAAAAAAAAAAAAAAAAAAGTTACATTGAACAAAAGAAAGTAAGTCTTCCAAGGTTATTGTAAACTGTTTTAAAAAATATATGTTGGTTATATGTTGCAGGTTTTCTTTACTTAATACAAGACTGTTGCACCTTTTACATCATTTAGATGAAAGATTTGGACCTTTAGCTAAGCTAATTCGTTATTGGGGAAAATATGGAGGATTTGTTGGAGATATTGAAAGGTTCAATAGTTATTCCTTTTCCTTATTAGTGGTTTATTTTCTTCAAAATATTCATCTTCCTGTTTTACCTCCTATTACTGAAATGATGGATAAGTCAGGTAAATAAAAGTGTTAAATAGTTTAGCTACCATATGATGTGTATTAAAAATAATCTGATATTTAATAGACATTATAGCACTTATGTTTTTAAAGACTGTATTATAATTCTTCAAATATCATAAATTTATAAAAAGATACAGTCAAAAGTCTTTAATCCGGACTTCCATAATCCAGAATGATCTATAATCCGGACCTCAAAGCTACAAACTTTCTGCGCATGCATCAACGCATAATGCATTCTCGCATACACATAATACCTTTACGCATGCACATAATATGTTTACGCATGAGCGTTTAATGTATAACGGACGGTATAAGCTAAGCTAAAATTATCTAATTATCTATTTCTGTTAATGTTTCAGATTGGGTTGTTCCTTAATCTTTGAACTGGATCCGGCTTATTATTTTTTGCAGACTGTTAGAGCAATTTTATAAAAGTAAGCTTGAACTTTCGATTATGTCAAAAAGAGTTTCCAATTCTGCAGCGGCCAAAGGATCTACAAAGCGAAAGCATGTTTTGATGTCCATCAAACAAAAAGTGGAATTGCTTCAAAAAATAGATAAAGGCATATCCTTTGTTTCTCTAACCATTCCGAAATCTGTTTATCAATTTCACGCTGCTCTGTGGGGAGGGGCGACGTCGCGACACGCAGTGAACTGGAAGTTGATCTGTCAGCACTATCCTTATCTTCAGGGAAGACGTTTTTATTTTATTCGGCGTACAATTACTTACTAAATGTAGTATTTCATCTCGATGTACTCCGTCTTTGATATGATTTAAATCAAATTCCTCATCATTATAAATATCACGAATACACATCAAAATAGTTTTCTGGCTGCAGTTTTCTAATTTTGACTATGCTTAATGTATGCTTTACGCATGAGCGTGTTGAAAGAAATGTTTAATAAAATAAACAAATAAATATTAAGCTTTTTTTGTATATTTTGACACCCTTTAGATCATAATTGCTCTTTATTTCATAAATTACAGTTTCATATTTTTTAATTTTATAATTTCTGCATGCCATCTTACCAGATTTAAATTAATGATCTATAATCCGGAAAAACTGATAATACGGAATCGCCGAAGTCCCAACGAGTCCGGATTAAAGACTTTTGACTGTATATATTTAAAATGTTAAAATGATTTTTTAAAGATTTATTCATATATATGATTTTTTAGTTTGTTTTAACTTCATGCTTTAATAAAAGTATAACTATATACTTCTCTTTTATAACTGAGTATTGAAATATGCTTTGAGTTCAAATATTTTATTGGTTGAAATTGAATTGATGCTGTACACAATTACAGTGAACTCAAAAACTCATCTGAAAGATTTTCTTTGAGAGTTTTCAAAATGTATTATTTATATTCTAATTGTTTTCTTTAGAGTGCATACATGGAAGCTGTGATTTAATGTTTAAAAGGTGCATAGATTTGTGCATTTTTAAAAAATTATTTATTTAATGTATAACAGTTGTCATGAAAAATATTTTTTTATGTGTAAGATTTTCCTATGTATTTTGTATTTCGCTACATATTTGTATTTTGCTCGTATATGTATTTTGTGTTTTTGAGCATATTTTAAATTCAGATTTTAATATGCAGACTCTCATAATGAATTTTTTTTTCAACTCAGAAGGGGGATGCAGATGTGTTTTAAGCTTAGAACATGATACAGTGACTTTTCCACCTACAAATTTGTACTTGTAGATATTACCATCTTGTACTTGCAGATGATGTGATGTAGAGATTTGTATATTTTTTCTACAAGTTTATACTTGTAGAAAAGATATACGAATCATACTGAAAAAAATTTATCAAGTGTTTTGATTTTAGAAACAACAGTGCATATCATATTTTACTCTCATTTTGAAACTAAAAGTAACATCATCATTGATATCTCTGACAATATATGAGCATCTTTATAATTCATGAAAGATTAGATAAATCTTGAAACAGTGATCCCCTACCATTTTGTTTTGTAGATCACATTCATAACTATAATGTGGTGGGCACTTCCTTTATTTCTGAAGACAAAATGTTCAAATTGTAAGCTAAAAAAGTATGCTATAAAAGGTTAATGCAGCATGAAAATGTTTGAAATCAATGCAATATGTTTGCACAAAATAGATCACAAGTAAATTTAATAAAATTATTTTTTATCAAATTAAATAAGTTTGGTATTTTATTTAATTTTTAGAGCATAGAATAATGTTTCTTTTTCTAAATAATCATTAAGATGTTTTTAAGTGAGCCGAGATCCATATTCTGATATTTGGCATTCTTTATCAAACAGTGATTTGTATAACTGAAACTGTATAACTGAAGTATAAATGAAAATTTATTTTATTTTCTATGCTGCTTTAAAAAGAGGGAAAAAATTCTATAATTTTCTTCTGATGTATAGAATTTTAACCTTGCATAATTACCTTAAAGCTTAAGTGGCATGGCTTCATTTTGTTTCTTTGATGATGTAAATATAATCTTAATAAATGGAAGTTTATGAAAACAGACTAGAATAAGTAATTATGCAAATTTAGATAATAATTGTTTAAATACAATTCTTCATGACCAGATCAAAAAAGCTGTGCCATTCATGAGTTAACATAGTGTAAATGATGGCTTTTTATTCAGCTATTAATTTTTTATTACTATTTCAGATTTATTTTTAGATTTCAATTTTGAATATAACATAAAACAAAAAGCTAATCATCTAAAACTGTCATTATTAAATATTTAAGCAAAAGCTTGTATTCATATGTTATTAAACCTCTATTTTTAAGAAATGGATCATAGATTGGAAATGGACCTGTGTTAAGTGTTCAATGCACTGAATTATATTCCTTATGTAATAGGAATATAGAATATTCAAACATTTTATTAAAAAATTAGTTAAAATAGTCATTGTTTGAAGTAGGGCCAGTAATAGAAGTAGGCAGATTGTATATTACTTTAACCCTGCAATGGAGGAACCAGCATACAGAGTACCTAATGCCATCTTTTGGGCTGTAATTTTTAGACAACCCCTTCCTGAGCTTCCTCCTTTCCCTCTACCCACCTAGAAACATTCCATGAGTGCAATGCATCTGGTATTTTTGGTCAGTCTGGTTTTCGCCTTCTTTCCGAAAGCAGTTATTGTGAATATGTCACGCAGACGAACGCAGTACACCGCTCCTCCAAGTATATGCAGAAAAAATATTGCACCTCCTGAAGATTATTTGTGCATTTTAGAAGAAGTCTCAGTTGATGAAGACTTCGACAATTTGGATAACGAATCTGATGTGGATGATTCGGAAATCATCAAACATTCTGATCACGAAAGTGGCTCAGAAATTGAGGGAAAACGTTTCTAAACATGCTCATTTTCCTTCCTCAAATGATGTTTCCCCAACAAATGACGATTTTAGTGATGTTGAAAATGACATGAGTGATTTAAAATATGGGGGCTTTTTTGTAAAAACAATTTACAAAAAGAAGAGAGTTGGAGAAAAGTTTCTGAAAGAAGAAAAGGAAACTTATAAGTGGAATAAAGTTCCCCTCAAGAGCAAATTCGCCAGAATGCCTAAAAAAAAATTTGATGAAAAAAATATTCCTAAGTGCCAAAACTTATGACGATATAAATGATGAGCTTTATGGCTTTTCAGAAAATCATAAATACAAATATGATTGATGCTATCATACAATATACAAATATTTATCTCAAATGTAACAGGACTGCAAATGGTCTCCAAAACATCTCAAAGCGTGTGTGATACTAATAGAGCAGAAATTTTGGCCTTTTTAGGAATTTTATTCTTATTAGGGTGCAAAAAAAATGTCACAACTCAATTCGGAGGAAGCATGGGCAAAACGGTACTGGAATTGAAATTTTCCAAGGGGTCATGGGTCTCAAGCGATTCAGAAACCTATGTGCTGCTATTCTATTCGACGATAAAGGCACAAGGTATGTGCGAAGAAAAACTGATAAGCTTGCTGCACTAAGAGAATTTTTTGAATCTTTCAGTCAGAACTGTCAAAACCTTTATACACCAGGTGACGAACTCACAATCGATGAGAAGTTGGAACCCTTTCGCGGGAGACGCTCTTTTATTCAATTCATCCCAAACAAGCCCGTGAAGCACGGTCTGAAAATTTTTGTAGTTGTTGACTCACAAATGTTTTATACATTGAAGCTTGAAATTTATTGTGTCAATCAACCCTCAGGACCTTACGAGGCTTCCAATTCAAGTATTGACATTGTCAAAAGGCTAATTGATGCGTACGAAGGTTCCAACCGAAACCTGACGACCGATAATTGGTATACAAGCTACCAGCTAGCTCAATATCTTCTTACCAAAGGTATAACACTTGTGGGCAGGCTGAAAAAAAAAATAAAAAGGAAATTCCAAACGAATTTCAGCCATCAACAACACGAGATGTCGACAGTTCACTGTTTGGTTTTCAAAAGGATATGACAATTGTTTCATATGCAACGAAAAAAATAAGTGTGTAATACAGTCAAAAGTCGTTAATTCGGACCTCAAAGCTACAAACTTTCTGCGCATATAAGACCTTTACGGCTGCGAATTTGCGTGTGCGCGTGCGCAAAATACGTTTATGAATGCGCGTTGAATGTATAAGGGACGGTATAAGCTAAGGTAAAATTATCTAATTCAGTTAATGTCGCAGATTGCGTTGTTCCTTAATCAATCTTCGAATTGGATCTGACTTATTATTTTTTGCAGACTGTTTAGAGCAATTTTATAAAAGTAAGCTTGAAACTATCGATTATGACAAATAGAATTTCCGATATATATTTAGTAATATGTAAAGGATCTACAAAGCGAAAGTATGTTTCGGAATCCATTAAACAAAAAGAGGAATGCTGCAAAAATGGATAAAGGCATCCTTTGTTTATCTAAAACTTTAACGTTTGTTATTTAAACTTGTTTATCTTTAACCCCACGGCGCGCGCAATGAATTGGAAGTTGATCTGTCAGCACTATCCTTATCTTC